GCCTTAGCGGCCACGGAAGGGAATAGATGGGGCGGTGGCTAGGGTTTTGGTCGTTCGTCTCTTGGTCCTTTTTTGTTTGCACGAACACCCCTTATTGATAGCAAATACTCACCCGTTCTTATTTAGTTGTTTTAGATTTTTCTAGATACGGATGCATCTAGACATGTTCTAGACAAATACGGATGTATCTAGCGATCCGTATCTAGACAAATCTAAGACAACTAATTTAGGACGGAGGTAATACATGGATAATACTCCCTCCGTCTAGGTGAGTAAGTCATCTTAGGTTGTGCACCGTGAGCAAGGAGGAGGAGAAAACGAGAGCCCTTAATGTTTATTTGCTAATTAATAGCATTGCATGCAATGAACTAACCACTGCATGTCGTGTTTAGTAGTCTTAAGTCATTAAAAGCATGCACACCCCTCATCTTTTATTGGTTGATATGTCAAGAAATAAGAAATGAAGTAGAAATTAATGCACCGTGCCTAAGTGTTTTGGGATTATTTGGTTTTCGTAAGATGACTTACACACCTAGACGGAGGGAGTAAAATATTTGTGAACGAAATGGCAAATCCTGATATCTTAATTTGTCTTGTACTGTAGTGAGATAAGAAATACTAGTTTCGAATCAAAATAATAATAATAGTAAGAGATGGAAAAGGCCGATTTTCTTTGAGAGAGGAGAGCATTAAAAGGCGTCTTTTAGTTGTTGGGTACAGACTGGACACGTCTTCATTAAAAGCAAATCCAAACGCGGATTCTTGCGCTAATGGCGATGGAGCCCGATGGACCCTACCACCACCTCCCGCGTCTGATCAGCCTATCACACACCGCTTATCAGACGGGATAAGTAGATAAGCAGATCGCGAGACGCAGACGGGCTGATCGATAAGCAACCACTCTTATCAGTGGCAAACACGAGAGTTTCCTATAAATAGGACCGCGAGGTGGTTGCCCCTCCCTGCCCTAGCTAGCCCCCAACAACCCATTTCCTCCCCCCACAGCTCTTCTCCGGCCCCTCCAGCCACAGAGCTCCGTAAGTGCAGCACAGCCTCTGATTTTGCTTTTCGTTCCGAATTATGCAGTCGTTGGTTGGATGTCTTCGATTCGAATTCGATCCTGGATTTTTTTTTTGCGGGGGCACGGAGTTCGTTCTGCGTATGCCACCCATGCCGAAAAAGATCCGGCAGCAGGGTCGGAAAGGAGGAGCCCCGGCTTTCCACGGGCCCGATTCCTGGGCTTGGATTGCATTTCTGGGCGAGTTTTTTTTTCAAAATCGTTGGGATATGTGCGTGCATATATGGCAGGTTCCGGAACAGATCTAGGGTTTGGGTTCGGGGCGAACGCGTGCAGCGAACGTAATAAGGCGTGTGTTTCTTTTTTTCTTCTCTTCTCCTGTCCGAAACGATA